TCTCTCTCTCTCTCTCTCTCTCTCTCCCTCTCTAACTCACTCGCTCACTAACTTGCTCCCTCACTTTCTTGCTCACTCTTTCTCTCACTCTCACTCACTCTCATTCATTCACTATTTCTCTCTCCCTCTAATTTACTCACACTCACTCTATCTTACATCACTTGCTGACTAAATCATTCGCTCAATGAATCATTCACTTACTCTGTCTCACTCACTCATCTCTCTCTCTCTAACTCACTCGCTCACTAACTTGCTCCCTCACTTTCTTGCTCACTCTTTCTCTCACTCTCTCTCACTTTCATTCATTCACTCTTTCTCTCTCCCTCTAATTTACTCACACTCACTCTATCTTACTCATTCCCTCTATAACTCACTCACTCACTCTCTTTCACTCATTCACTCGCTTACTCTCTCTCTAACTCACTCACACTCACTCATTCACTAACTCTCTCACTAACTCACTATCTTTCACTCATTCACTCACTCACTCTCCCCCCTTTCTCTCTCTCTAACTCACGCACACAGTATAATTCACACAATCGCTTACTCTCTCTCTCTCTCTCTCACTCTCTCTCTCTCTCTCTCTCTCTCTCTCTCTCTCTCTCTCTCTCTCTCTCTCTCTCTCTCTCTGTCTCTGTCTCTCTCCCTCTTTAACTCACGCACACACTCTAACTCACAAAATCGCTTGCTCGCTCACTCACTCTTTCTTTCACTCGTTCACTCGCTTACTCTCTCTATAACTCACTCGCTCGCTCACTCATTCACTCACTCGTTATTATAATTGTCGGAAAGCTGAACGTCTCTACTATTAGACTTCTCGATAAAATTTTAGTTTTATGTGATTATAAATGAGATAAATAAGAATGAAATCAACAAAAATAGCCTTAAACGTTTTATTTTATATATCCGCTTTTAGTTTTTCCACGAAGGCCACATTTATGGCATGACTAATGAGTTCTAAATCCCTGCAAAATTTTGTATTGTATATTTAGATAGGTGGAGTCGTTTCAAAATAAACACTATTTGAAAAAAAATCGTAGGCATCGCTTGGAAGTTTTTGAGGTTGATTTTCTCAACAAATTGGATTCAAGGGGTTTTCAGGGTGTAAAAACAAAACTGTTTATTTATTTATTTTTTTTTTTTGTAAAAAAATATTATTTAAACATTTTTACAACGTAGATAATTCTGCGTTGATTTTGGCATATTTTCCTTTCTCCTATGTCCCTTGTTCATAACTGCTCTTTATTTCGTCTAAATTCAAAATTATTACAACTGTTCGAAAGCTTACTTGTTTTACTATTAGTCCGTGTCAACAATGTTAATATGAATATGAATGAAATCGACAAAAATCCCTCAAACGTTTTATACTACATCTCCGCTTCTAGTATTTCTGCGTAAGCTAGATTTGTTCCATTACTTGTAGTTTATAGCATTTGAAAGCCCTGCGAAGTTTCATGTAAGCCCGTTTCAAAGTTATCACTATTTCTGTGATTTTTGAAAAAATCGGAGACATCCTCGCTAGGAGAAAAATTTGGGAGAATTTTTTTTATTGTTCCAAAAATTTGTATACAGGGGTTTATCATACTTTTCCAATATTAAATGTATACAACCTTTTGCGAACAGATTGAAACTGGCCGTCAATTTTATGTTTGGTGTCTTCATTTCTGTCCTCGACGTAAAACGTGGCTAATTCGATATTTTTCCGATTTCACTGGAATAAACTACTCAGTACAAAATAAAGCATTAAACAAACACACTTTTGTTTATCCCTCGTGTGCTAGTCAGACATAAGACAGTCATTAAATCATTCTTTTAAGTGCCCCACTTAAGCAATGAACGGTAGAAGGTTTGCATCGTTTGTCTAATTGACTTTCAGAGAATAATAGGAAAAATGCACTTTAAAAACGTTTCTTTCTTAAAATTTAAAAGAAAGGAAGAATAAATAATGTTTTTCTTTGGCTTTGGGCCCCCCTTTAATAACAAAAAAGTACAAAATTTGGGACAATTTTGTCAATTTTTTTTTGTCCAGGAAATAAAGCCAGAATACTCACTTGAGGGAATGAAAAGGTAAAACTGAAGTACTTAGGCCACATAATGAGAAGACAGGTTAACCTGGACAAGAAGCTGATGTTAGGTTACGTGAAAGGCAAAAGGAAGAGGGGCTGACCAAGGGCAAAATGCATGGATTTTAGCTAACAAGAAGCATAGGAGAGGTAAAAATGAACAGAAATGAAGAGTACCGAAAACAACAGAAAATTAACGGAGTTGAATTGTAGAGACAGGAGGTAGTCAAACTTAAGTTGGAAAGGCTTGAGGCAAGGCGAATGAAGGGGAGGACTTCCAGAGGTTGTAGGAACGGGTAGGAAGGTGCTATTAAAAGCAGTGGATTTGTATGAGGGTAGTATAGAGATCAGAATTTGGTTTGTGGAGATGTATTTTAGATTTAAATGTTAACAGATTATAAGAAGAAATATATAGGAAGACGAATGGGAAGAAATTGTTTGAAGGAGCCAAGGAAGTTTTTCAGGTGGCTCTTAAGGCCTTAGCCTCATGCAAGGTGCGTATGGAATTGTACGGAACTTGGTAGAAGTCAGTGACATCCATTGATTGTCACCCTAGCATGGGTCCTTGAGCATTTGGGACAGAGACCAAACGGACATGTTGTCCAAAAAAAAGGAGCCGATATGAACTCTCTATGCCCAAACCCTACTCCAGCACCTGGCAACAAAAAAGGATACATCTAAAAATGGATTCTTAATGAGCAAAACCTGGTGAAACAAACCCCGGCATGATGTAAACAAAGAGATTCATTGAAGGGCCATCCGCAAGACTTACAAAGGAATTACTGTAAGGTAACCGCAACAGACCCAGGATTCTGGTTGGACTCCTGTCAAGGCACTGCCACCTAAGAAGACACATGCACCTGATAGGAGTACTGGCAGAAGAAAAACTGTGCAGATACTGCCAGGAAGAAGAGGATACTGCAGGACACCTTTTACATTTCGGTGAGGGTTTATGTAGGTAGCAAAATCCTACACTGAGGAGCCCCTGGCAAGGCTATTGAGATTGACTGATAGCCAGTGAGTTATACAAAATAAAGGACCACAATAAATATACTCAGGTTGAGGTGCGGAAGGCCTTGTGCCACATTCCATTTAGTGCTTTTGCTTGTTGCACTAAGGTGTAGAAGTAGATATATTGTAGTGTATGTTACACTGTGCCCTTTAAGAGCTGTTCTGTGCTTAGGGCACATCAGTAAGTCCTAGTTTATCAAGGAACTTGATTAGTAGGCCCAGTTTGAGTGATTGAATATCTTCTACAGTCACATTGTATGTCTCAAGACACTTCCTTCGGCGGGCATGTGTAGCACCACAGTTTGTTACTAGGTTGTTGGTATTTCCTCTGATTCTTTCCAGAATCTGCACTTGCCGTGTTGGGTTATGCCAATCTTCTTCAGATGCCCTTTTAGTTTGCAGGGTCCTGTTAAGAATCCTGCTAGTGATTTCCTGCTTCCTTTAATGCATTCTTATTTCTTTCCTTTCAAAGTTTCTTAGAAAGTTCGTGGATTGTGTCCATTAGTGAGTTCCACTGTTCCCTCATTTTTGTTTTATACTTCTGTCTAAGGTGCTCATTGTTTGTGGATTCCTATGCCACAAAAGGACTTAGGACCCTATCAGTGGGCTACTTGGCTTTGCATACATAATCTGTTTAGTTTAATTTTGTGATTCAGCGCCATGTTTGAGCTAAGTGTTTGGACGGTTACTTGGTTATCTAACATGATAGCTATATTGTTTTTGTAGCCTTTGTTCAAATTGAATTGAATCTCTCATTTGCATAGACTTTGGCCTGGAACATACTGGTGTATTTTCCCATGGGTCCTGAGTATTTGGTTCCAGGACCAAATAACCTGCCCCCGTACCTTCTTGTGTACCAGAGATGTAGCCATTCTTAAAGAAGGTGTTTCTCTTTCTTCCCCATTCTTTTTTGGTACCTAAGTTTAGATTGAAATTTTGATTAAACTCAAACATCCTGTTCATGTTATCTCTTGAGGCCATAAGTGTTGGATGGTCTTTCATGAAACTGTTACTATCTCTCTCTCCATTTTAGTTTTATTCCTATTGGAGGTTTCTCTGTGATAACTGTACTGTCCTCATTTTCATGTGGTGGAGGGGGATTAATCCCTGTATCTTCTCAATACCAGCTGTGGTGCACGTTCTCAGTTTCTGTGTTCTCTTCATTTTGTTCTTTGTTCTAGTTTATCAGCCCAGACTACAGCACCATATGTGAGAATAGGTCTCCCTAAACCAGTGGTTTACACCATTCAGCTGTGATTTTTAGCCCTTCTTGATTGTGACAGGGTTTCTTTGAATTTTCCCCTCGTAGTCAGGACTACATCTTCATAACCCTGACACTTAATCCCTCTGGGGTTCAGAGTTTCAAGCAATTCGTCAACTGTTAGGATCCATAGGAGAGGTGATAGTACCCCTCCTTGTGTTCATCCTTTAGTTGTGCTAGCTTTTATAGTGTCTTTTCCTATACTTGTCTCAGCTTTTTTGGTTCTTAATTGTTGGTGGTGTTAATTGTCAAACTTAGCTTTCCTTGTCCTTTCTTTCAAGCTCTCACTAAGTACTCCAGCAATTCAAATCCAAATTTAAATTCTACCTGTGACAACTTATTCATTTAAACGAACGTTTTGTTATTGAAAATTTGATTATTCCAAGCATACATTTAAAGAGTATAAAACTGGAGATTGTATTCAAAATTTTCCTCTATAAAGAATGCCCATTTATCTTGGTTAATAATTTGGAATGAAAAAGATAATTACCACAAACAATCGAAAGATCACAGAATCTTGTTTCCAAGGGTTAAAAATAATTACTAAACACAAAAATAAAGGAAGAAAAAGTAGAACAGTGTGATTGATAAATTTATTGATAAATAGCAAATAAACACTTATTAATTAGTTAACATTATAAAGTATAATAGAAAATCACAGTTTTTATGAATCACTTTTAATATTTTTATAGAACAATTAACAGCAAAGTAATTACGCTCTTCCCTGTTATGTAAATTATCTATAATTTAAAAACACACCACCAAGGTTCATTCATCTTCCCTTTTCACCATAGCTCCTTTAATTGTTTCATACTGACTCGAACAAATATTTGAATTTTCCACAGAGTCAACTTCCAATTTTATCGAGGCTCCTTCGCATTTATGCACTTCCTTTGATGAAGATTTATTCGTGTAATTACTGTTTTCATTGTGCGTTTTATCTTGGTCGAAGTTATTAGATTCGAAGGAGTGAAGCTTTTTCTTGGTGTCGTTGTAAGCCAGCTTCGCAACATCGTGCTCTTTCATCCCATCATTTTTCGGCGTTTCTGTCTGCCTTGAACTTTTATCATACTGAGATGTTTTAGGAATCTGAAATGACAAAATGATTACACATTTAGCATTAAAGAAAAAGAACATTTTGGTGTGCTAATAATTTATTCTGGAGCTCATTGGAGCAAATTTCTCTGGCCAAAAATAAAACTTGTCAGCCATTTGGATCATCCTGACATAAAGAAATATTTTGTTTTTATTTCTATGTTAAGACAGCTGTCACAAAGTGTGCGCGAATTAGTTGGCTAGCTCTATTCAAAATCTAGTCAGTACAGTTTCCTCAGTCCTTGTTTTTCGAAAAACAAAAAAGCCTTTTATTTTCTCTAGTATTACATTAGACTCTCGTTATCCATGGGAGATACTTACCAACCATCAGCGTAGATAATAACACCTCAAATTATGTAATGTATCAGGATTTTATGACATCTTTCGGAGCATTTACTATTTTTCAGAGCATTATGGGTTGAGAAATTTAGACACGGCATTAGCTGGAATGTTTGGAACCCCACCAATCAATGTCGAATATCCAAATATATTTAATGATTGTCTCGTATATCAGTTGTTTGTTGTGAAGCATCAGTTTTGAACATTTGTCTAGCAGTCGTGAGTGTTTGTAATGTCGTAGTCAGTTACTGCTTTTTTTAGTCTTGTATATGGATTTCAAGTAAGTGACAGACCCTATCGACATGAACTCTTCATCTAAATCCCAATCACTTTTTGATTATCAAAGGTGAAAGGTTAGGTTGGATGGTTTGAAGTTTTTAAAGTGGAGTGTGGTGTTATACAGGGCTGCCCACTTAGTCCTTTATTGTTTTCTTTATTCTTAGACAACCTTCCCTATTGGAATATGATATAAAAAGACACCATCATAAAATTTTTACTTTACGCGGACAATATCAAAATCCTTATGGAGTGTGTTTATACCCTGAAAAGAAATATTCAATTGCGGGAAGCTTATTCAACAATGGAACCTGACAGTAAACTTTAAAAAGTCAAAAATATTAGTATCCAGAGAGAGTGGCGGATAAAAGAGTTCTGAAAAGTGCTTCATCCAAGGGGAATGGATCAAAGTGGTCGATGAATATAAATATTTAGGTGTTGTATTTACGATCCGACTTGCGATGTTTAAAAATTTCAGGCAAAAGGCGTTTACAGCAAGATTAGACCTTAATAATACCTGGGGGACACTTATTAACCAGGATGTCATCCCCATTGAATCAAAATTTGTTGTCTAATGCTGTGGGTCGTTCCATCCTTTGTTATGGGTGTCAAGTATAGGGGGTGGTTTCAACAATATGTCACTATCGAAACAGTTCAGAGGATTTTTATACATAAACTTTTTTCACTGCCAAGCCTCCGCAGACCTGATTTTTATTTTTGCCCTAAAACATCATTTTTTGTATGTCGAAAAAACCTGCTTGCTTTCAAAAATAAGATTAACCAAAAATAAAACCTAATTAACTTATTGGATGGCTCAAAAGCCTGCCAAGCATGAACCAACAGGAATTTACACTTCAATTTTTTAGTCACCGGACACATCGCCTCTAATCGTCCTTCCTGAAGGACTCATCATCCAGCGATTTCCTGCATCTTCTATTCGATTTTCTCTTTTCCACAGTCATTGTTATTTTTTCACCTGACAAGTCTACCTATCAACTCCATGTTTTGTTTTCCCCCCGGCACTCACCATAAGCGATAGCAAATATATTATAATTTGAGCTTAAAAACATGATAAGACACTTACAAAAGTCTGAGCATGAAGTGCAGAATGATTGTCCAGTTCAGCCCTGAAGAAAAATTTTTTCATGCATTTTGGGCAATCGTACGGCCTTGCTGAAAGTCCATGCTCTAAAATATGAGATTGAAGGCCGACTGCCGTTGTGAATACTGAACTACAAATATAACAAGTGTAGTTTGAACAGCCCATGAATGTATGTTCGATTAAATGCAGCTGGAGTTGTATTGAGCCGGGGAAGACGAGCATACACAAGTTGCACTTGGTTCCAGAATTGTTGTTTTCATTTGAAAAATGAGTTTCCATATGAAGTTCATACTCTTTTTGAGATTCATATTTTTCCTGAAATTTCAAATAAAATTATATGGAATTGTACAATCTCGATTTTGAAAGTTACGTGCTTACATTGCACTTCTTGCAATTGTCGCTCTGGTCATGAACCATAAGCATATGGAGCTCCATAGCTCCATGGGTCTCAAATTTAATATTGCATTTGGAACATTTAGTGGATGTTTTATTTAATTTTTGACATGTTGTGCATATTCTGTCTTTAAGTTCTTTTTTATCACAACCCTGAAGGCACATGGAGCATGGGATCAATTCAACTTGCAGGTGGAACTTGGCATGAAGTCGGGTTTCCATTTCGCTACCTAAAGTCTGCCTGCAAATGACGCAAGCGACTGGAAGAACCAATTGTTGTTGACCTTTACTCATTGTGTTGCCAGCATTATTTGTATGCTGCATTACATGTTTAATGAAACTTTCTTCGTTATGAATCTGCGCTTTGCAATGAGTACAAACGGATCCAAAAACAACCTAAAACATCCGTTATACAATTTTCCAAGAGAATAGTTTGGCAAAAGAAAAACGATATTTTTATAGGATGAAATTACGCACCTTACAATGAGTGAGTTTGTGCTCAGCCAGAACGCTCGCAGAGTGGCACATTTCATCACAAATGTTGCATTTGTACTTATTCGAACTCATTGCGGATTGACAGTGGGCCTTCATGTGGTTTTCCAAATCTGTCCTGCTTTTGCACGTTTCTTTGCAGTATGCGCAGTGCAGGCTCAACTGTATTTTTAAAAAAATGTTACACACACAAAGACAAATTGAATAAAGAATTGGTGTATAGATTAATCAAAACTGTAACACACCTTGGAATTACTATTTGGTTTTAAGTGGTGCATCATTTGCCTATGAGACAGTAGTTCCGCTTCGGAAGAAAAGTTTTTCAACTCACAAATATCACAAGTGCCCTTAAATATGGTGCTGGATGAATTTATGTTAGGTATCTGAAATTTATGTAGTTTCAATTTTTCCTTAAAATATAAATATAGAAAAATTATAGAACTTATTTGTATTAAAAATAATAAAGAACTGAAATGGTCTACTGTTAATGATTAGAAAAACGAAGTAGCATTTGCCAGAAAAAAATAGTGACAAACTTTGAACTAATTAATTCCAGCTTTATTTCACGTCAAACAACTGGACAACAATTAGACATTTCCAATAGATAAAAACATATAAAAAATTAAAATCAGAAATTTAATGCCCTCAAAAATCTAAGTTTGAATTGTTAAGTTCCCATTATTTTCATGTAATGTACAGTAGACTCTCATACACTGAGGATATGTATGTATGCATATCACCGCAGATAACGAGAATTTTCTATCATATTTTAGATCTACTATAAGAGGCAATAGTAATTATCAGTATTAAAATTACATATAAATAGAACTAAAAAATATCTATTCTAACCTCTAATAACATATCCATAGAAAGTTACACCATGTGTGACGAACCATGGATAAAAATATCATAAAAACCAAATGGCAAACATACTGAATAACCTGTAATTTGGTCGTACCGATGGTGAAATGTAAACTTGACAAACTATGATTGGTAACGACCAAATTACAGGTTTGATGTGATGGGTGTTGACTGCATGTCGGTGAACTCATGCAGAACATGAGGGTCATTTATTGTGTCACTCATTGCACTCATTGTGATCGGGATTGTTGAACTGCTCAAATATGTTCCAACGTTGGGCCATCTTCAGTGAGGAACTGTCTGTCACTTTGTCCAAAGAAGAGTTTATATGTCAGTTGTCGCTATTATGTGTCCATCAATTATTTCCGTTATCAGTTATTATTTGTGTTGTTAGTTTTTGTTGTGTTGGTTTCAATGTTTTCTTCTCGGATCGGATAATTTTTCAATATTTAAGTGTTATTTGTTGAAAGAACTGATACCACCTCTTAACCACAATCACCCCTAGTGACAACTGACGAACGCAATAACATATAAACCCTACTTGGACAAAGTGATGGACAGTTCCTCACCGAAGATGGTGCAATGCTGAAACGAGTTTTTGTAATTCACAAACCTATCAGAGTAGCAAATCCAATAAGTGACCCAGTGCCAGTTCAGCATGAAATTACAGGTTTATCGTTCGCAGACCACACAGAGAAATTTCACAGTTAAAACACAGGAACACAAATGGATACACATAAACAAAACATTCAGAAAAACCCCGTGTTCATAAACAATGTCATCTACATATATCTATCAAAACAAAATTGAAAATACAAATGATATATTAAAAGAATTGAGTTTTTATGAAAAAAAATTGAATGGTTACTAAAAAAAAATTACAAACATACTTTGTTCAATGATGTTTTCACATTATGCAGTAATTTTCTGTGGGCTTGGAGATCACATTCTGATGTGAAATTCCCACATTCACATATATCACAGACACCATTGAAAACATTGTTATTCATCATGTAGTCTTGCCTTTTTAAAGGACTTTCATTTGTACTGTTCACGTTATTGCTGGTGATATTTCCGACTGTTCCATTCCCAATATTGTCTGTCGATACTTTCATGGAATTAGACGGGAAGTCGTTGGTCGTATTAGGCTCATATGTTAAATCGTTAGGTTTCTCGTCTGCCTCTTCGCATTTTACTGTTGACCCCTGACATTTAGAAATAAAACATTAACTGGTTCTAAAATTAACAATAATAAAAATAAAGCAAACCTTTGTGCTTGAATGATTTGTTTGCACATGTTTTTCCAACAAGTACTCAACATGAAAAGATTCATTGCAGATATTACATTGGAACTGTTTAGTGTGTATTGCCAAATGGAATTGGAAATCAACATCCGTGGCGAATGTTGCATTGCAAAAGACACACCTTAACACTCTTGGCGGCTAAAATTAACAATATTAATAAACCAAACATATTTCTTGATTGTGTTTAATTTGGATGTTTTATGGCTGGATATATAAGGTTCCACTTAGCATTAGGTTAGGTAGGGTTTGACTTAGGGCTGGATTGGGTTAGGTTAAGTTAAGTTAGGTGAGTTGGATTTTGCTCGATTGTTTTTTAATAAAAGTGTTGGACAGGGGGCTACAATAAGAAGGACAACTTCCCACAGTTGGTGTAAGGTAAAAGTCTCTCAGGAAATCTGTTGGATGGATACCGAGAACGGGTAGCAGCAGCCACCAGAAACTAACTTTGTGTTTCTGCTTGGACAATGCTTATTTTTGTCAGCCATTTTGGGCCGTAAGAAAAGGACATTTCTAAAAAAAGCTGAAACAGTCGGTTTTCCCCCATACCCTTCATAAGAGAGTGGAAAGTGCAATTTGATTAGAGATTTTAATAAAATGCAATTTTCTTGATATACGTGTTATATGGCTGTATATGACCAGAATATCTTGCTATAAAAGTAAATTACTTCTGCTAGTACTAATTAAGTTTTTCCATGCAATAGTAAAATGACTTACAGATACACTCGGCGATGAGGCTGTTGAAATAGAGGAACAATGAATTGACTTGACATGATGACTGAACTCTGTCTCGGATTGAAACGGACCTAAACTCAAGCAGACCGAACACCTAATTTTCTTCTTTTCATTGCAATGCTTCATTGCATAATGAACCTAAAAAATAATAGATGAAAACATTTGTAAACAATTTTTGATATATATTCAGTCATATCTATTATAATAGTTATATTCTGTCAATGTTAAATACCTGTATAGCTACTTTGGATTCAAACATGTCTTTGCACAATGAGCACCTGTAGAGGTGTTGAGTGTGGGTTTCAAGAAGATGTTTCTGCAACTCCTCAGATAATTTAAAAGCTTGAAAGCAAATTTGACATTCAAAATCTTCAGTTAAAGACTTGAAATGGATTTCCATGTGCTGAATCATTTCTTGAGATGAAACTATGTGTACTCCACAATAAGGGCAGACGGATGTTTGGGTGTGTCTCAACTGAGGCATTTTTAAAAATACTGACTGTTCCAAGTGAGATTTTAAATGACTTCGAAATGATTCAAAGTCTGGAAGTGCAGCATTGCATTGATTGCAAAGTAAAACGCCAGGATGGTCGTAAAGAGCTCCCTAAAAATAAAATTCAATTTTATTACAATAAGGACTTGAGTATAATCTTGATATTTTACCTGACTGGCGTTGGTGATATTGGGTGGAGTTAATGAATTGGAAGAACTCTTGAACTTTTTTGCCGAGGGCAGTTTTTCTTGCTGCTCCTTCCGATTCACACTCAAATCCGTCGGTTTTGACTGTTCGGCAGCAGAGGAAGAAAGGGTCGATGTGATGGATCGGTGAGAAATGTTAAAATGTTCCACAAGCCAAGCGTAAGATGGCAATGTGATTCCACATCTTGAACACTGGAAATCATTTTCGCAGCTCTGTCCCAATCCATGAGCAGACGTAGCGTGAATGTGCAAAGCTTGAACTGTCGGGAATGTCATTGTACACAAATGGCAGGTCATGTTTCTCGAATTGGCCGACGAAGTAGTCGAACAATTACTATTATTTAACTGGGCATGTGAGAAGATAAATGGCTGCGACCCGTTTAATATAGAACCTAAGGGAAAAAAATTATGTGTGATTTCTCCATGCAGTCTGTGGGGAGATAAAATTGCAGTTTGATTTGCCAATCCTCACTGGGTTTATCTGTCAGATACATTTCAGCATTTTGCCATCTTCAGAAGAAGGTTTCTTGACCACCCCACAGAACTCAAGAAAAATGATGTCTAACTATTTAAAATAGTTATTCTTTAAACAGCGAGATTTAATTGGACACAGACCCAGCAGAGAAGAAGGCAGACCAATTAAGTGACATAGCATGACACACATGTTGCGTCTTATGCAGTCAAAGTGTTAAAAAATCATACCATGCATGGCTTGCACATGAATCTGAAGCGCTTCCATTGAATGAAAAGAATCCTTGGTGCAATAAATGCATGCTAATCGAGGCCGAGGTGATTTATGCTTCTTAGGCGGCGATGAACCACGTCGATGCTCGTTCATAATATGTGCCTGAAACAAAGAAAAGAAATAATCTCCTGTACACAAGAAATACGAGTTTTGACGTACCGTCAAGTCATCGGGTTTGGAAAAAATCTGAGCGCATTCGAGGCACCTGTAACTACTTCCAGATGACTGAGTCTCTAAGTCCGATATCTTTTTATGGTTCTGCATGTGTGAGGTGAGAGCAGCTGCTGTATTGTAACCTCTATTGCAAATAGTACATTGGAAAGGCTTTTGATTGTCATGGGTTTTCATATGAATTTTCAAATGGTCGCTAAAAGAAAATTACAAAACGATTATAGCATTCAACATTTGTGTATTAAAATTACTTCCTTCAACATGTTCAGTGGGGACCACGGTAGCCGAGTGGTTAGCGTGAGAGACTCTCGGCTCATAGACACCACGGTCGTGGGTTCGATTCCCACCGTCGCCTCTGGCCCTTTTTTCACAATACCCCCCCCCCCAAATATGAACACACATACAAGAATTCGTCACCATGGTTAATATGCATAGATCAGTGCAGAGTTGGTGACCTGAATTTGGTCGAACCCATTGGATGGATGACCTCCATACACTGTTAGATGCATTTACCACTTTTTTACTCACGAATAATATGGATCTCGGTATGGTCTTGTTGAAAATAAAATAAATTCAATTGTTACTGTCAACCTTTCGACCTATTTTAAAGTCATAGAGCAAAACAATCTTAAAGAGGTGTACAAATTGACATAATTTTTTAATAGATTGGTTTTCAAATTGCTTTGAAGACCGACTCAGTCCCAACATTGCCATGGACTGATCTTGGCTGACCAACTGACTCACAGTTCTGATGATCCTGGAATGCAAGTCATGGCATAGGAACATGTCTAGGAATAGAAAATTTTCGCCCCTAGATGGAAATACCAGACCACACTGAACATATTAAAGTAATAATCACGTGTGAAAATTTCAGATTTAAGTAAAAATTCACAATAAATAAAGGCAACTAACCTTCTCGCAAAAGCAGCTTCGCATTGAGCACATTTGTATCTTTTATCACCTGTATGAAGTTTTAAATGACGGTCTTTACTTCTTTTGTGTTTAAAACGTCTTTTGCAAAATTCACAGACAAATGGCAAGTGTTCACTGTGGGTCTGCAACATACAGGTCATAAATGTATAAAATATTAACCTAGGTTCAATTTATAAATAAGAAAAAATATTAATATCCAATAAACGTAATTCACCTCTATTTGATTTTCACTAAAACAAAAATGAATAAAGTAACACAACACTCACGATATTCAGACAAATTGGAAAATTTCCAATTCTTCTCATAAGTAAAGAATAGTTCAAGTTAAAATAAACTATAACTACAGATTTCCAAAAAGTTCCTACTATTTTACCTGCTCATGTTTCTTAAGATAGCTGAGTCGAGGAAAAGCTTTGTCACAGAACTGACATGCGTAAGGTGTCGCATCTGTAACACCGACAGTGAAAGTAAGTTCGGAATCAGGAAGATCGGACGCAGAGTTGGGTGTTGCACATGATGAAGGGGGCGAGCTGTGTCCTTCTGAACTCCACGATGAACCCGCTTCTGTACCAAGAGCCTCTGTAAAATAAATAAAGAGTTTTAATTCAATTCACAACTGTTTTTGGTCTTTTAGAGATTTGGTGAGATCACCTATCAAAAATGTATGTACACAAATTACAGAGTGCTTCAAAAGTGACAAAGAGTGACGTAGTTCCAGCTGGACTTCTGCGCATCACAAATAACGAACGATAGGACATGAGACAAGAACAGGATGATGAATAAATTCTTGTGAAATTACTTCACAAAGAAAATGCTGATGGATTATGATGAAAATAATGCTTTTGAAAATGAAGTCCAGGATATTTTTTCCCCAGGAACCCTCCGATTAAGAACATCCTAAGCCAAAAGGGTATAGGTAAAACTGAGGAAGCCAGGATATTGGATTAAAAAATGGAAGAAGAAAAACGTAGCCAGTATGAAACCATCGGTGAAATTAGTTAAATTCAGTCAGTGCTATTTCTGTACCCAATGTAAAGACATAAAAACAACAGTAATGTTTCCAATTAATGCAATCTTGTTTTTGGGCTTTTTTTTTATTGCTGCTTTTTCGTTGATTTTATGATTTTAGCATGGCTTTTTAATGGATTCTTTCTCAGCTATGTTTTAAATTCTTAAAAGACTCCAACCATTTAAAGCACTTAATAGATATTCTAAATACTCATAAAATCATTTCTTATCACTAATTTGGCTTCCATCCTCATTATTCCACGATTCAACTTTCAGAGTTGTTGAAAATCTTCTCTGCTGTAGAGAATAAAGAGTACTGCTTGGGTGCTTCCTTGATGTAGCACAGGTTTTTGATATTGTCTGGCACTCGAAAAGGCACAATTTCAATTACAATTCTCTTACAATTTCTTTACTTTTTTTTTAAATTTCTCTTACAATTCATGTCGAAAAATGTGTTCATAATTCCTTCAACCTGATGATAAGTGTTTTTTGTTTGAAATCCAGATCGTTGTAAACAACAAATCTGCAAAAAAACCATCATTTACAAATAGTGAAACAAGCTGGCATCCCACAAGGGAGCATTCTTGGTCCCGTCATGTATATCATTTACTGCTTACCTACCTATACACCCCAATACCATCATCACCGCATACTGTAATTTTGACCTCTAAATCGAAAATCATATTCAACTACCTCCAACAACCAGGGACACGTTGAACTTATCGAAGACTGGTGCAAAAAGAGGAGGACAAAACTGAATGAAGAAAAATGTACACTTAAAAAAAAAAAAAAATTATGCTCGAGCTTGCTTTATAAACTTAAACGCTTTCTACCCACTCCATATTATCTTATACTGCTGTCCTACCATCACCACCACCTACGCCTACCACAATTTTGACTTATAACTGAAATCCTATCCAAGCTACCTTCAACATCCAAGAACACCTTGAACTTTTCCAAGACTGGTGCAGTGGAGGACGAGGCTGAATGAAGAAAAGAACGAACACAGTTTATGTTCACAGTGCAAAAACAGTCTTGCCCCCACACATCAACAAAGAGATATCGACACTATCACCTATACCTAGACAGACTGACGTAGAATCCTCACACAAGACCTACAAGACAACAGATTACCAGAAGATTTAGATGGCTAGGAAGACTTCTAGGACCGAAATCCATCTTGACCATCAGCATTAAACTATCCTAACCAAGCTACCTCCTACATTCAAGAACACCTTGAGCTCATCAAAGATTTGTGTAAAAAGTGGAGGACAAGACTGAATGAAGATAAATGTATTCTGTGCACGTTTCATTCACAAAGTCTTGCCTTCCACTGAACATCAACAATAAAGAGATACTGACTTCCATCCAAGTCAAATATGTAGGAGTATACGTAGACAGCAGCCTGACATAGAATCTCCACACAAAACAACATAAGATTTGGACAACTACCAAGTCAATTTTTGGACCAAAATTTGTCTTGACCGTCAACGCTAAACCAACTTATACAAAAGTTTACTGCGACCATTTTGGACATACGAGTTGAATTGTGGGGTTCCGACAAACCATCTAACATCTAGCACATCCAATCCTTCCAATCAAAAGTCCTCAGACAAATTGTCAAAGCTCCTTACTACATCGCTAACCTCACTATCCACAATGACCTTAACATTCCTTTTGTCAAGAATTGATCCATTCCGTCCATGTCACCTTAATGGACAATGGCCTCAAAGCCTTGTCTCTTAATCTCTTACAGTGAGCACCAGCATCGGCTTGTTTCTCTTGGTATGTCCTCCGGGTGCAGCTCTAGAATTAGTGTTAGAGCTGTGACAGTGTGAAAAAAGAAGTTTTGTAATTTATACTATATGTACAGGGTACAAATAATATAATTTAAACATCTTTGAAGTCCCTACCCATAATTTATGCTTTTATGAGCTGTTTTATATTGCAACTTGTACTAAATATATCATAAGACATCAAAAAAGTTTCTTAAATAAGATAAAAGTCTGTCTTCATTGAAAAGAAAAATCAATAAATGTTTGAAAAACTAACGAAAATATTTTTTGTTTTATAGGTTAGTGTGTTAGAATCTTGGCTTGTAGGCTCTGTGCAGGCATGGGTTCGATTCCCACTATCCTGCATTTTCTAACAAGCTCCCCTTCCTCCATATAAATCAACCAGCACAAATACCGTTTCCTGGCTAGTATGAAAACCATAAGGCCATCAAATTTTTTTAAAACGTTCTTAAATTGTGGGTGGGGATGGTAACTGAGAGGATAGCCCCCAGTGGTTGTGGGTTCGATTTCCACCATTGCATCTGTATTTTCTATCACACTCCCCTTCCTCCATATAAAACAATGTGTGGTGATTAGTGACCGTTAATCGATATTTATTTAGAAATCGTGAGATGCGGTCTGGTGTGATGTAGGTTTCAGAAAAACATTTTCTTTATCGTGCCAACGTTTCGATCTTTATTGAGATCATCTTCAGGGCCTGGGATTTACAAACATTGTTTACATTTAACAAATACATTTAGGATGTGGAAAAGTGAATTTATACAATGCAAAATATATTTTTTATATTCAATCAAAGTATTTCTACTCACTCAAAGTGTTTGTCTTCTGTGTAATTGTGCCATTCTTGCGTGTCGTGTTGAGAGTGCCAGTGAGATATTGCTGTTTTATGTTTATATACGTTGGATTTTGAAGGGGTGGGGAAGGAAGTCGGTATAGAAAAGACATTTTTGTATAAGGCGTCGGCTTCTTTGAGGTGAAAAGAGCCGACGAAGGGAAAAAATGTGTTGGTAATGGTTCGGCCAGATTATCCTTTCAGGATTATATAAATAGGAAAAGGAAAGCTAAATTGTTGGGAAATTAGACTATGTGAAAAATATTTGATGTGTGGAATGTAATGCTCTTTTCACCTCAAAGAAGCCGACGCCTTATACAAAAATGCCTGGAATTTCCAAGAGGACTGCATCTATTTTTTATCTAGTAGTAAACAGTTATTTAATACCAATCAAATAAAAAAATATCGCTAAAAAGATTACAATTCGTGGAAGTTATAGGAGTTTTTTAATCATAAAATCTCAAAAAGCAGGGAGATTGTGTGAATCGGAAAATTCAATGTTCAAAATGATGAGTGATGCTGCTTCAGTACTGATACCAGATAGATTGAGGCATTTCTTTGTTTATTTTAATATGAGAGGGTAAGTAGATGCAATTGGGAAAAATTAAAGAGCAAAATAAACGAACACTCTAATGAAGCTACTGCACTGTGCATCATACGAAATCTGAGTGAACACGAAGGAATGACAATGAAACAATACAGCTTTCTTAAAAGACTGGTGATTCAAAAATCTTGAAAGAAATTGCGGCCGACGAAGAGGTACATAGTTAAGATCTATGTGGTATAGAGCAGCTCGAGTGAGCAAGAGGGTGCTTCAAGTGAGAAGTGAGCTACTCCACTCTAGGTCCGTCAAGCCTTTGGCTAAGGTGTGTCATGTTGCCCGGACTGACAGGTAAGCACCCACCACTTTCCAATAACTCTGTAGGGAAAGCAAAAGCACAACAATTCGGGTACAACATTCAAGACCCTTTATGTAAATATGGTTTAAATAAGGCTGAATACATTAAACAATCCCCGACATGTTCCATCACTTATCCCCTGTCCAGCTCCTCGTCGACTCCTGGCTGACTCCCCATCAACTCCTACTAGCTCCTGGCCTGGCAGATTCTTGACCAACTCCTACTAATTACTCCTGGCAGATTCCTGGTCAACCTCTGGCCTACTCCCTGACTCCTGGCCCGACTCCTACTGTCCGTAACGGCTGCCCCAACCTCGACATCTCTACTCCGACGGACAACTCCGACTGCCACTTCTCTACGACTCTTGACTGCCTCCTAGTTATTATGGGACCTTATTTAAGCCAATCAGTCAGGGTGGAGGTGGGGAACCCATCAAGCTTAGGAGACACTGTTATGATTCCTAGTAACCCGATTGCCTGTTTTCCTCCCCCAGTTTGTTGAGCTTTTCAGAGTGAATCTGGGCATTAGCTAATCCTAGGGGTTGAACAATAAGGCACGCTTGGTCAGCACAACAATAAACATCTCCGTCGCGATTGCCCAGGAACGACTCACATTTTATAAATTTACAATACCACATGGAATATTTACAATGACACCTTCGGGTTTGCCTTCTGCATAACTGCACTTAAAAACACGATGTGTAGTTATACGATCGAGAAATTTAAGCATAGGAGACGGTTTGTGATTCAGGACCCGTTTGAAGAGTAAGTAAGAAAAATTAATATGAAGATACTACACTGCAGAATATTAACTGGGAATAAAAGGGGAGATTTTGTGCACATCCCTCGAATATATGACACATGAGGAGATAAGGAAATAGCTTTTTATTTTGAAACGGTTGCAATTTCCAGGCCTGAGCCCCCCACCAATATAATTAATAAGTTATTGTTACCCTTTCCACCCAACTTTACAAGTGGAGCTCCAAATTTTAGTCCTTATTATCCAGAGGTTTTTCGCAACTGCAGAGGTCATATCAACCCTCAG